TTCTCCTATTTTGCAACTGCTCTGCTCCACTTTATTTTATAAGATAACAAAACTTATCTGCCTGCCACATCTGCCTGTGCTATCAGTTTCCACTCCTCCCCTTCCTCTTCCCACGTGTTTGCTTTCTCCTATTTTGCAACTGCTCTGCTCCACTTTATTTTATAAGATAACAAAACTTATCTGCCTGCCACATCTGCCTTTGCTATCAGTTTCCACTCCTCCCCCCTTCCTCTTCCCACGTGTTTGCTTGTTTGCGTGCACGCACGCGCACGTTGGTTTATTGAGGTGTGCGCTCGCCCTTGCCCACTCGCTCAAAAGGAGGTTTTAACCTCCGAAGTCCCTACCGCCCACCTGGAATCCCAAAACGCCCACTAGTGGGCGGTAGAGACCAGGTTGACAACCCATCGTCTAAGTGCTATTGCTATTTATCTGTACTTGTGATTCTTCAATTTATTAATCTCACAGAAATAGGTTGGGTCTTGTAATGCTTCACAGATGTTGGCAGGAAGCTGTCCCCTTTGTGTATCACAACTACTCTTTTATGTGGTGCGTAGCATCTGCTAACTTCCTCAGCAACAAAAGTTGCATTCAACCCTAACAGAACCGAACAAATATAGAGTAAAATTATCTGAATTTAGAGATAGACAATCCACAGCTGGCTTTTGTGATTAGTACATATGGGTATGCCTATGTGGTAGGAACCAGGTTTATTTGGTAGGAAGCAAAATCTGGAATTGATTTTTTTTTTCCCCTGAGTTTGCTTCCGGTCAAATAAATATATTTTAAAATATTTCAGTTATCATCCCAAGATGATATAAAGGTTACCTCCTCTCTTAAAGAGTTCTTTCCTGGAACTATAGTAGTGAACGAGATTATATTTTCTCTCATTTACGCAGACAAATGTTAGGTTATGCACAATTTAGATTTTGTCTAACAATAACACTGTAGGAAGAGATAATGGAGGTGATAAAATAGTTTCCTTTCAGAGGCACACTGACACTTATTACCATTTTCACAAGGATTATTCATACAGGTAGTCCTCGATTTATGAGGATTAGGAATTACAATGGCCTTAGAACAGGTATTTTATGTAACTTACTTCCGTCCATTGTAAATTGTGCCTCCCCCCCATTTACAATCGACTTCCACATCCCAGTTAATAACCACAGCAAAAAATACCCATTAGAAAGAATAGCAGTTAGCAATAGCAGTTAGACTTATATACCGCTTCATAGGGCTTTCAGCCCTCTCTAAGCGGTTTACAGAGTCAGCATATCTCCCCCAACAACAATCC